ATGGGGTTCAACCCCCCCCCCCCCCCCGAAATGCCTTCTTTAAATTTTTGCCATACCGCTATTCGTCGGTGTAAACGGTGCAATACTTGGTCTTTTCTATCTTTAATAGCTTATGACTTATTAAACACTGCAACTTACAGGAAAACCCAAATATGTCAAAAAGACTTACAATGACAACCATAAAAAAAATAGCCACAGCGCGAATGCTAGATCTCATACCCCCCCCGGAAATGAAATCCTAGATACGGCCCTGGTGTAGCCCGTCGAACGCCCCAACCATTTTCAATTCCGATCTCTTCATTAAACCCCTGGCCCGAAACGGAGTCACTCCACGGCCATGATCCCTTCATCGGGGGGGGGGGGGGGGGTTCGAAGGTCGCATGACCTTTAAAATGTCTATGAATGCAAGAAGGCGTCATCGAGTCACCAGGAGAGATATACTAAAAAAAAAATAATAATAATAATAAGCACAACGGCTCGAACACGCGAACGGAGAAAATGAAACGAAGAAAAATGGTACGAAATGGTGAAAAGGGAATTCAACTCTTAATGATAATAGCACAACACGCGACTGGCGTGACCTTCACCATTCACCTCCTACCTTCGTGTCTTTCCGGCTTCGCTCTCAGGTCGTTTGCTCATATCCTTCCAACTATATCTCCAAATTTCAGTCGAATAAACTGAAACTTTAATTTCAGCTTGGCCCGACGCCTCGCTGGTAGACTGCACCGCCTGCAGCGAGGCTGCGTTCTATGCCTTCGGAGGCTTCTGGGACAGCCCGATCAACAGATGTTTTGTCAGATGATGGATTTTCCATGCCGGTGGATTGCGTGAGATTGCAGGTGGGTTGCAGGTAACGTCACTGGTTCCAATTGGGAATCAGAAAGTACCCATCTTGCGACTGGAAAATCAGAGATCTGTCAGAATAAAACATCAAGTCCCTGGTGGATAATTTTGGTTCATTCCAGCTGGAAACCAATTTCCAAAAAAAATAGGGCAGCAAATAAAACAATTTCTACAGGAAGTGGCTCGCATTTACTGATGGAAATGTTGCTATTCCTAATTGTACTTTTTGCTGGGTTTGCTGGGACTGGAAAATCCGGTGAATAAAAAGCATGCACGTGTGAACATGGGTTTTAGGAATATAGCGAAGATTACATGTGAAGAGCCTACCATATTGAGGACAATCTGTATCCTAAGCAGAAAGTACCTAGTAAAAGTACTGAAACCGTACATTAGTTGAATTCCCATCTGTTGTTTCATTAAGTAGCGGACACGTGAGTAACGATAGTAAGATCTTATACTAGAGGTATACTTACAAAAGGATACAGTTAATTTTCATTTCAGCTCTGGAAGGTGACATTTGGAACGGGGAGATGGGAACGGTTGCCATTGAGGGGGAAATACCCAAAAAGTGCGTATGGTTCGCGTGGGAACTGTCATGATAAGCGTCTGCTTGTTTATGGTGGGACTCTCCAATATTTCCCTGAAAGCGACAACAGTCTCTTCATCTGTGATCTCAGCAGCCTGGAATGGAATGTGTTCCCGACCGTGGGGGCAAATCCACCAGATCTCCATCGCCATGTAGGGGAGTGAAATTGCGTATTTCAGCTTAAATTTCAGCTTCTTGTTTAAATCAAAAGCTCAAGCCACGTAGTTGAAACTGACACTTCCTTTTCTCGCTCCTATCATGATGACATCTCCACAGGGGTTCGTGAGAATAGGGACAGACATGTATGTCATCGGAGGGAGGAAGCATACCTCTCGGCCCATAAGCCACAGTGATGTTCATCACTTGGACCTCAAGACTGGAATATGGACTGCACTTCCATCCACCGAAAACCCTCACATCGAGTATGTCGTCAATCTGTTGCATGTAACATTTCGCATCACCTAGACAAACGCTAGAGATGAGTAACTATTGCAAGTTTTTTATTTGGATACGAACACATTGCACCATTTATCCATCCAAGTTGAGAGTATCAATTAGTCATTGTTTCAAGTTATTGCACACTAGGATAGTATTCAATTTTATATTTACATATACACCATATATACACATATAATTATGATTTCATTGATAATTATGTCTCAGGGAATTCCCGAGACATAAAATGCACCAAACTCTGTGAATGAATGCTTGTATTTTCTCTCAGTTTGTGGCATGGATGTTATAATTCGTCAAAATTTCTTCTCTCATAGAATTGCCACTTCTAGGAATTCCAGGTGATTAAGTACTTTCTTATATTTTGTTATTTCCCAAGTGAATCTATTTTCCAAATATTGTCAATGTGTATCTTATATAGCCGGTCAGTCAGCAACGGGGAGAGAGAACGAATTAGATGCCAGCTGTTGCCAATGGCTGTTTTCTTAATCAGGAACCAACACTGCTCGTTCTGACTCATTCCAGCTCAGAAACGGCTGGAAAAAAATTCAGATCCTGGTGACTGTCGCCCTGCTTCAATTAAGCCAGTCTTTCAAGCCAAGTCTGACTTTGGAGGTCTGCTTAAAAACGGTTGCACTCACCCTTTCTAAACTGCAGCCACCTTTGGGAGTCTTAACGGAATGAAGTGTGACTTGAAACGCCAATGATTGATTTTTTCGATAGGCTTTGAAAGGGAAGTAGAAATTTCAAGAAGGGTATTCTGGTAAAGGTTTGATCCATTGGAACTGCTTAGCGATTTTGGATATTATGAACGGTATTGACCTGATAGAGAAGGAATTTCCAAATTCACTGATTTGCTAAGTGATCAAATGTCCTTTCCAATGACGTTCGTGACTGTTTTCAAGATTTTATTCTCCAGGAGTGGTTGTCCTCCCCCTGTTCAAGGTTTCTTTATTTTCCAGAAATATGGCTTTGCATTATGTTCAATATACTGTACTTCCATTTTCTTCTGCGTCATTTGACTTTCGGCTTCACCGACATTATTTACCTGACAGCAATGTCAGAAAGATATATTTAGACCAATCCGAAGGATGCAATGTATTTAATTAAGGTGTTTGTTTATTAGCTTATTCCCTCCCCATTTCCAGATTGACCACACATTCTCCTTTGGGAAGATAGAATTTATTAAGAATTATTACTGTGAATTGTATGGGTAAGATGAGAAACTTCTGAATGTCTTCCATGTTAACAGTTTCTATAGCATTACTTGCTGCTCTTAAGCGACACCCTCGATGCTAAAAGCAACACGAGGGTTACCAATAGCTTGGAGTAATTATTAGAATTAATTTCTTGACGTACAGCAAAATACTGAGCCGTTCATGAGACCTAGACCTACTTTACCTCCTCCCCCACAATATATCAAGTACCCTCTTGTTTTTGCTCAAAATTTTGTTGCACTTTGAAAAGAGAGTTCAGTTCCGTTTTCGGACGCTGTCCGTGAGATGTAGCTCAGACTCCATGAAATTCCTTTTTTTCAGAAGCTTGAGGTCGACTTTCGTAACATCCA